TTATAAACTTCACTAAATAATATTAACCAGATAGTTCACATTCCCATGGCATTGCGAGGGGAATTTACAGGGGGAACTAAAGAAAAAGAAAAGGACATCTTTACGCGTGGGAATTTTTACTTATGTCCCACTAAAACCCCAATCATTAATGCACTTAATATCCAGACTAGCTAACTTTACTGACTTTACTTAATTTTACGATTCACTGGAGTCTATTGAAAACTCAACATCCATTTAGCTCGTCGTTTATAGTATCGTTAAACTTAAGTTATAGTTCTAAGCCTCGTCCTTTGCTATGAAAGCGACGAAATTTGAAAAAAAAAATTAACGAAAGTTATGATTCCACGAACCCTGGCTGATGAGGGAGAAAATAACTTATACGACTAAAAACGCCATGGAAATGTGCTAAATGGGGTTATCAAGAAATATATTTCATGTAATTAATTATCACTAAATTACTGAATGAGCTTGTCAGTACAGGTACTCAATGTACTTATTAATATACTTATTTACTTGTTAATAAATGGGTTTCGTGTAATCATCCACAAATAAACTGAATGTAGCTTTCAATAAATTTAATGAACATACCTTTCATTCAATATACGTAATTTACTTATTACTGAATAGACTAAGTGAACATAAAAAATCTAAATTAATTGTATGTATATATCAATAAATGTACTGAATGTACTTATGAATAATAGTACTGGATGCAATTATGTACTAAATATTCTCACCAATAATAATTTATAATAATAACTAAAAAGATAATAGTCGTAGGAGGTAGATCCGTATCCTAAAAAAGTTTATAAAAAGTGTATAATAATGATAAAGATAAACAATAGATAGTATATAATGAATAACAAACGACCAGCAATTATGAACATCTTCGTCTCATTGAGGTCTGTCTTACCGTCTATCTTCAGCAAATGTTCACTGTTACTCTAAGTTCTGCAGAACAATCGCGTGACTTAGAACATGTGAATGAACTGTGCCCGAGTTTGTTTTTTTTTTTTTTTTTTTTTTTTTTTTTTTTTTTTTTTGCATTATTAGGCATCCATTAGTGATTTTTCTAAACGTACAGAGAAGTATACAAAATTGTATTGGTAGTATTAGGTTCCTGTGGGTCTAGTCACGTGTTTGATACTGGATTCTATTTTTAGGCCTCATAGTATGGAGGATATTGTGTTTATTCGTATAATGACTATTGGATAAAGAAAAAAAAAACAAGTACTCTGATATCTTTTAAAACGTCATTTTTTTCCGGATAATGACTTAGGAAGATGATTACATCTGATCAGCTGAGATGACGGATTATTTACCATCATCATCTATCTATTCATTTGTATGCTTGTAAGTCTATCAATCTGTCAATCTATCATTAGTTTACATGCCTCTTATCCATTTCCTCGGTGCTTTTGGAACTAGAAAGTGGGAGAAAAAGTGAAAATCTACTCTTTATCTCTTTTACATATACTTTTCATTGTTTTTTTATGCCACTCACTCACTCTGTATCCATTAATATAATTACTAGTTATACTTTCATGGCACTTAAAGATCGCGTGGAACAAATATCCCAAAATATCACGATTTTTCCGAACTTCACTAGTCGCTTTTGTTAATAGTGATGAAGGCGTTTCAGTGTTCTTTTGACTGCCTTGTGTGTTTGGGTCTCAGGTATAAGGGAGGAGGAGGAAGAAGAAGAGAATGAGAAGGAAGAGAAGGAGAGAGAGGGGGGAAATAAAGGAAGAAGGACGGGGGAGAAAGAGGGGATAGACGGAAAAGGAGAAAGAGAAGGAAGACGAGAAAGAGAGAGAGAGATGAAGAAGGAGAAGGTGGTGGAAGAACTATAAGGAAAAGCGGACACACACACTTATGTTTATATATATATATATGTGTGTGTGTGTGTGTGTGTGTGTGTGTGTGTGTGTGTGTGTGTGTGTGTGTGTGTGTGTGTGTGTGTGTGTCTTGTCTGTCTGTCTGTCTGTCTGTCTGTGTCTGTGTCTGTGTGTGTTTCTTTTTATTCCTTTTAAGAGGACTCCCCTGTCCTAAAGCAAATAGATGAACAGACAGATATATAAGATGTAAATAAAACTGAGATTTCACAAAAACCAAAAGAATTGTATGCTCGATTTTTTATTTCCACATTTCTAGCTTCATGTTTAATATATCACTTTATATAAATAAGGAAGAAGGAGAATTGAATAAACGAACAAATAAATGTACATTAAACCTTAAAAAAAATTAAGCTTTTAATTCATGCGTAGTTATATTGTCCTCACTTTTACCATTAAATGTTAACAAGCAAGTAAATGAACATATACGCAGGTCAAACAAACAAATGAATAATCAAATAAACAGATAGACAGGCCAAACTGACAAACAGATAAGTAAATAAACATATATCCATGTCAAACCGACTGATAAATAAAAAAATAAACAAATCAGACGGTCAAATAAATGAAAGAAATAAACAGGCCAAAGGGACTATGTAAATAAA